TTTCCCTAAACTGAGTGTCTATGGTGAGCTTACATGAAGGTTGTTGAGGAAGAGGAAAGTACACTAAAACACATGCATGTAATTTCTTTAAATTAGGAAACTGTCAGAAAAAAATGAGGATAGGTCTTTGATTAAACACAGATCAAAGACATGTCTAAGGGCAGCATTGATATAAGCTCTCTCATTAAATACACCTTGTCACTGAAAAGGAAGACATAAATCAAAGACAAAATTAGCTGTCTACCTTAATTCACAAAAATACAAGGATTTTTAAATAAGATGCAGCAAAAAGACCAACCAAAAAAGATTTCAGACAATTTGAAGTAAAACTTCAGAACGGAACACCAGGTTCAGATTCTAAAGCATGCGATTTTGCCTCTGGCTAGATATCATGTTTCCTAGCAGGACTCTAAATGGCATTCATGCCTACCAGTATAACCATGGCAAGCTCCTCCCGAATGTCCTCCAGAGCTCCAATATCTGCCCATGTCACATCAGGAACTGTGACAAAGCCTTCTCTCTTGGCAGAGGGCTGCACTGAGGACAGTGCAACAATAAAATCATTCATCTCAATGCAGAGCTTCTGCAGCTGCTCCTCTACCAAGGGGTCCTGCTCTTTAAGCAATTCCAGCAGTTTCTGCAATTCATCCTGAGAGAAAGGGAAAAAAAAAAAAAAAGATTACAATGGACAAAATTTTACCACCACACAATTTTTCAAGGTTTCCCTGGAGCAAAAGCATCTTCATTAAGGTAAAATTCCAGCTGAATATTGGAAAAGGCGCTAGACAACTCTGGAGTCTTGGTTTTAAATCCCACTTTCCATCTTCCCTCCCACACCACCACCATACCAGTACAACAGTAATTGTAACAGTAGTACTTGTACCAGGGCAAGATTACTCTACACTGCCCCAGTGAGGGCTGTCTCTGTAGTGCTATGCAGTGCTTGGCCGCTTCTGGGGAGGCTGCCAAAAAAATTTGTTAAGATTTTCTTTTATCAAGGTACTTGCTGTTATGATTTGCTCTGCAGTTCTAACTGGTTCTATATAGAAGCACAGCAAGTCCCACACATGGATTTCATACACAGCTGTACACAGTCCTTAAAAGTCAATGCTTATTTCTAGAAACTTTCACAACATGTCAGCACATTGCTGAGTGTATCTTCAGGTTCAGCAATTAATGAAATGCAATTGCTATATACAAGTTGTAGTCTCTCATTTATTCCCAGGCTGACCAAAATGGGATTTGCCAGTCATGCCCTAAGTTGTTCATGACAGGAAAGTTGTGCTGCTATAAATAAGGTTGTACTAGAATTTCCATTTCAAAGTGAAAAAAAGCCTACAAAAACACAGATTTTAGTTGCTTGGGTTCCCAAGAGCAGCTTGTTGCAGAAAATATTATTTGATGTTTGTTAAGGGTGTATTAAAGGATAGTCACTGAATTAAAAGTTTTTCCAGCATCTTCCATTTTTCAAAGAAAAGCACAGCACTTTCAGATGTGAATTAACTCGGTGTGAACGCTTGGTTTGTGTAAATGGGATCAAATATTACATAAGTTGTTTTCTGCAATGAACTTAAAATTGCTGTTTTGAAGTAACTCCTAAAATTAGCAAAATAATTCCTAAAACTAAATTAGTTGATGTTGACCTCATGGCAGTCGTTAGAATTGGGTTCGTTGTTGCGATTAGTTTTCTGAAAAACAGAAAACCCCTTTGATCACGCTGATGTGAGTTACAGCTGTTTGCTTTAACTCAGTCCCATTCAGGAGATGTGTGACAGGCATGTAGCACAATTAATTTACTGCAGTGAAGCTGCTTTCCCCCCAACCCACACACAAATATAAAAACATTTTTTTAATATTTAAGCAAGCAGTGAAGCTGCTTACTTTTTGACACTTCCTTAAAAAGTGGAACAAAGTATACATGTGAATTTTAGAACATTTTAAAGCATTAGCTGTTAAACTACAAGGCAAGACTTCCAGAAGCCTTTGCATAGTGCAGGAACAGAGCAACTAAATGTACACAGCACATTCCTAGAAAGTTTCTAATGGAAGGATTTAGAATTCATAGGGCACAGGCGCCATTCAGATTCAATGATCACAACAGCCCTTGGCAGATATAACATTTATCATTAATGTGTTAATCGCACAAGTTGCAACATGCCACATGGTCAACCAATTTATCATAGAAAAAAAAAAAATGGCAAATGGATGTTTTCTATTTGTGTGGCAGGTTTGTATCACAGTTAAATCTGAATGTGTAGTATTGAGTTCCCCAATCCTTAGCTGCCTACATCCCATACTCATGCAAGTCAGCTGTTGGCACACCTCTTAAATACTGTGGGGCAAAGGAAGCTTGGCATTAGGGACTGGAACCCCATACCATGGCTCAAGGAATGCTAGCACTTACATAATTACAATCTGTTTAAGCTTAACCCCAATGGCAAGACCTTCTAGTTTTGGGATCAGGGATAAAATCTGCCAGGTCCCAACTGTGTGACTTAATGTCTGCCAGGGGCCAACATCACCTCAAGCTACCCCATTATTTTAACACCAGGTTACCTGCAAAGGTTCTTACTTGTAACAGAGTCCCTGTTATGTCTCTAGCTGCTGCAAACAACCAACCAACTACTTTCTCTAGCTCATGCTATGTCACAGATCTAACCTTGAATAATTTTTTAAATGTTGCTTTCCTAAATGAGTTGTTGAATGACAATCACCAAATGAGATCAATCCTGAGCTGGTGAGATCAATTTGGAGAGGATCAGAGCCACAATCCAAGCCTAAGCATGTGCAAAAAAAATTAAGACCTAAAAGATGTTGACATCATTTGATCTGTATTCGCCCATGTCTTGGGAACTATTTGTTCAAGCAACCTCAAATCTGCACCAGTAGCTGTATCACCACCCCTCATAAGGCACAGTAGTTTTCAAACAAGCACCTAAAAAAAAACAGCTGTTAAAGCATTAAACTAGTCTCAAAGTTTCCTATAGTGGTGCAACTGCCTCAAAAATGTTCACATAGTTTCTACAATTAATTAGGAAGTATTTTATTAACTGGAAAGATAAAAATGCTACATAAATATATAACATGCAAGCAAATATTGCTGTGATTAAAATGTGTTTACTACAGATTGAGCACAGAATCTTACAACCCTGAAGTAGTTTATTTTTAAGAAAGGAGAGTGTCAAAGGATCAAATACCTTTACAAGCTCTGGCTGCCTTTTGACTGGTACTTCTCCATTTTCAATGCTTTGTTCACTCACTGCTTTTCCAGCCTCTGTCTCCTTCCATTTTTGCCCTTCTGAATTTATCAGGACCCTGTTCACTGTGCACATGGCTGCCTCACGACAAAGTGCCATCAAATCTGCACCTACATAGCCTGGAGTCATGTGAGCCAAGTGATGAAAATCAAAAGATTCAGGGAGCTTAAGTTTTCGACACAATGTCTGTAGAATTCTGTTCAAAAGAAAAAGAAAAAAAACCCAGCATACAAATAATCCTTGCAGCGATTTTCTCTCCTATCTAAAAACATAATTATTCAGTCAGTCCTTTTGACTGGATCTTAACAGTGCAATAGTATAATAATTCAGCTGTAACTCAATTTAAAGTTACTCAAGGCTGAGAATCACAAGTCACATAGTCTCCAGATACATAAAAGAAAATCTCAGCCACGCAATCTTATTTAAACTTTAAGAATCAGTTCAGTTGAGTATACTATAACAGTGGTTTTCAACCTTTTTTTAAGAAGTGTACCCCTGGTGGCTGGATGGAGAGCGGCAGGTGGCCTGTGGGGCCTGACCCCACACACAGGGGTCCTCAGGGCCTGGCCCCACGAACACCCAGCCCAGGCCAGCCCTGAGCTGCAGGCTCTTCCCGTGGGATGGTGGCCTGGGCCCTTCTCCTCCCCTCCCCTCCCAGGGTCCAAGGCACTCACAAGTTGAAGGCGGGAGCCACCAGCATCAACAGCACAGGCGCCAGTCAGGGCCTCCTCCCAAGCATGGCACCTCCCCTTGCCTCTGCTCACCCAGCCAATTGTCAGCAGCCCACGGAGCCACATGTGATCGGCCCTGGGAAAGTAGTGGGTGGTGGCGCGGGGTGGTGGATAGTGTTGGCAGCCACCATGTAAGCCCCCGCCCTCCCCCACCCCTGTATCTGGCTGGCAGCCCAGAGAGGCAGTTGTGCCCTTGCTCCCCCCGGTCCTGCTCCTGGGAGGTGGTAGCGGTTCTCTGTCCCTGCCCACACTCCCTAGGACCTTTCAAAGTACCCCCAGGGGTACGCATACCCCTGGCTGACAACCCCTATACTATAATAAAATGACAGCTTTGTTATATTTTTTGGAAAAAAACAACACTGAGTTTAAAAAAATAAATAAATAAGCAAAGGTCTCAACTAAGGGACCCACTAAGATTTTGACTTTA